GAAAAATCCTAGTAAACAACACAGAAATCATCGATAGATACAGCGATAGCAGGCGGCTTGACGTTTGCGAGGCACTACACATCAAGAAGTCAACACCAGCAATCAACAGCCAATTAATGCACAACTATATTCTACCCACCTCAAGACTCCGCTCCAATATAGAAGCATCAAGAAATATGTACCAATAGGCTTTCTACAATCACTTCTATTCAATACCCATTGTTTCGTGTTCTGTCTTGTGTTGATGAAATTAATACCCTATTAAATACCACCTCACCCCATCCACCTCACTCAAATGTAGATATAAACAAATCGGAGATGTGTAAGTTCTATTCAGTTGTGTATGTTTAAACTAAAGTCTTTGAAAATGTAATAAGTTTTACGAAACGCGCTCAAGTGTCGCGTCAGACTAGAAATAAAAATGAATTTTGGAGAATTGATTTTTGAATTACCACCAACAGTGAAAAGAAATGTACGAAAGATTGAGAAAATTCGTGTTAGATTTATTATTCTTACTTTTTCGGTCATAATCAATAATATATATATATATATAAATATATTATTAAATATGACCGAAAAAGTAAGATTAATAATTCTAACACGAATTTTCTCAATCTTTCGTACATTACGCTTCACTGTTGGAGGTAAATCAAAAATCAATTCTCCAAAATTCATTTTTATTTCTAGTCTGACGCGACACAGGCGCGTTTTGTAAAACTTATTACATTTTCAAAGACTTTAGTTCACAAATACACAACTGAATAGAACTTACGTATCTCCGATTTTATATCTACATTTGAGTGAGGTGGAAGGGGTGATGTGGCATTAACACAAGACAGAACAAAGTGTGGTATTAATAGGGTATTAATTTCATCAACACAAGACAGAACAAGAGTATTAATAGGGTATTACAGACTGGCGAAGCGACTCAACGGCCTGCTGACTCCTTATGTTCCTTGCGCCTTCAGCCTGAAGTCTCCAAAGGAATTTGTTGACTTACTGCGGGGCACACGGGCCACAGGGATAAGAGCCTCGTTGGACGTAGAATCGCTGTTTACCAACGTACCTGTGGACGAGACAATCGGAATGATAGCCGACAGAGTGTATCGTGATCCAGCCTGTACTCCTCTTTTTTTTTTTTTTGAGATATATACAAGAGTTGTTACATTCTTGTACAGCCACTAGTACGCGTAGCGTTTCGGGCAGGTCCCTGGAATACGATCCCCTGCCGCGAAGAATCGTTTTTTCATCCAAGTACACATTTTACTGTTGCGTTAAACAGAGGCTACAGTTAAGGAATTGCGCCCAGTAAATCCTCCCCGGCCAGGATACGAACCCATGACATAGCGCTCGCGGAACGCCAGGCGAGTGTCTTACCACTACACCACGGAGACTGTTAATTTCTTGACATACCAGAAAATATTCTGAGGAAACTACTCCAAGCTTGTACTAAAGAGGCACCCTTCTTGAGCCCGGATGGGCACATGTATAAGCAAGTAGATGGGGTCGCCATGGGTTCTCCCCTAGGTGTCCTGTTTGCAAACTTCTACATGGGTACCATCGAGCAAAAAGTCTTAGTCGACATGAACTTGAAACCGGCCATATACTGCAGGTATGTTGACAACATTTTTACACAGGTACCCGATGTCACACATCTGCAGGAGCTGAAGGAGGCATTTGAGCAGAGTTCTGTGCTGCGTTTCACTTACGAGATGGAAAAGGATGGGAAGCTGCCCTTTCTAGATGCAACATTCATGGAAAAGAGCGGAGGTTTCCACACTGCAGTCTACACTAAGGAAACAAACATAGGAATGTGCCTAAATGCCAACAGCGACTGCCCAGACAGGTACAAGAGGAGTGTTGTTAACGCATATGTCGACCGTGCTCTCAGCCACAGCTCAGAATGGAAGCAAGTCGACGAAGAACTCTGTAGGGTAAGGCAGGTCCTAGTCAATAACGGCTTCTCCAATGGTTTCGTCGAAGACATCAAAAGAAGGAAAGTGAAAAGCCATGCAACCTCTGAAGAGACAACTAACACAACACCTATACCCCTATTAGACTATTTTACAGGAACTTCTTTTCCACAGCTCATAAAACGGAGGAAAGGGTCCTGAAAGATATTGTTAATAGAAACGTTATCCCTACAGACAAAAATCAGAGGATACAACTGACGATTTACTATAAAACCAGAAAAACGGCCAGCCTACTCATGAGAAACTCTCCAGACACAAAACAGAACGCTTTAAAAGAGACTAACGTCGCCTATGCCTTCAAATGCCCACTTGGGGATTGTAAGCTCCAAAAAACCCAGTATATAGGCAAGACAACAACATCTCTTTCTAGGCGTTTAACGATGCATAAGCAACAGGGCTCCATTAAGGAACATATAATCTCTTCCCACAACCAAACCATCGCCAGAGAAATCCTAGTAAACAACACAGAAATCATCGATAGATACAGCGATAGCAGGCGGCTTGACGTTTGTGAGGCACTACACATCAAGAAGTCAACACCAGCAATCAACAGCCAATTATTGCACAACTATATTCTACCCACCTCAAGACTCCGCTCCAATATAAAAGCATCAAGAAATATGGACCAATAGGCTTTCTACAAACACTTCTATTCAATATCCATTGTTTCGTGTTCTGTCTTGTGTTGATGAAATTAATACCCTATTAATACTCTTGTTCTGTCTTGTGTTGATGAAATTAATACCCTATTAATACCACACTTTGTTCTGTCTTGTGTTAATGCCACATCACCCCTTCCACCTCACTCAAATGTAGATATAAAATCGGAGACACGTAAGTTCTATTCAGTTGTGTATTTGTGAACTAAAGTCTTTGAAAATGTAATAAGTTTTACGAAACGCGCCCGTGTCGCGTCAGACTAGAAATAAAAATGAATTTTGGAGAATTGATTTTTGATTCACCTCCAACAGTGAAGCGTAATGTACGAAAGATTGAGAAAATTCGTGTTAGAATTATTAATCTTACTTTTTCGGTCATATTTAATAATATATGTCTACAGGTCTACAGGAAAGACTGCTACCAAAATATACTAATATATATATATATATATATATATATATATATATATATATATATATATATATATATATATATATATATTCTATATATTTCTAATTCAAATTTTTGTAAAACAAAATTTAAAAAATTGTTGATGTGAATTGTAAAAAAATTCAAAGCCATTAATACTATCAGCGTTTCTTGCATATTTTAACATAAGAACAGATGACACTGTAGAAGGCCTCCTATACATATCTACAAACTCACTCATATATGTATAATCTGCAACCCATCCTCCGCATTGACTGTACGTTTAATACTTAAGGTATTAAGTACACTTACTGTCATACATAGTACATATTTGCACTTATGGGGATGATATATTTACCTCTCAAATAATTTTCCTCGTTTTCTGTTAAGTCACTCAGAATTTTAACATTTTCAAATTCACAAGTTTTAAATATCAGGAATTTCTTTTTCAGTTTTATTAAATAATAGAGATTTTATACAAATTTTGAAAATATCCTGAGTGACTTTATAATTTATTGAAATATTTTAGTTTTGTTTTATTTGTTTTATAAAACTGTAATATCAATATAGCTATAGGTTAAGTAGTAATTGTAATTAAGAAGCAATAAAATGCTTATCTTCAAAATCTAAGAAGGTTTGGTTAGGTTAGGTCGTGGGTTTCTATTCAACTTTTCAGGTAAACTAAACTATTCACAATATATTTGACAGTGCGGTTTAATACTAAATAAAAATAGGTACAATTCCTGACTGCTAGGAATAGTACATAATTACACTTACTTGTGCTGTTACATTTACCTCCCCATTTTTGGAGGACGGGCTTCCATTTTATAGTACGACAATTTTTGGCTCTATGTAACACATTGGAACGAAAAGCGACGTACTTTGTAGGACAGCTTGAGGAAACACCCCTAACGTACAGAGTACCATAACCATCTCACCAGCGATAGCCTCGCAGTTTTATAGGGGTACAACCTCTGGTAGTGTTGAAAGAAGTGTTGATATAACTGGTAGTGTTGATATAGTCTGGTAGTCTTAGTCTGGTATTGTTGATATAACATAAAAATAGGATGAAAGACGTTAAAAAAAAAAATCGGATTTCTTTTAATGTTAAGATTCAGATGTTTGCATAAAAACTCACTCTGAATGAGTGTAGAGTTGACGACATCCTTACCCTTCCTCAACTCATCGCGCTGACACGTGAAAATGTAAGGGAAGTTCCACACATCACTCACAGTGGATAATAAAATAGCTCATAGGATAATCAAACAATTGTTACAGGTGTACATATATGAGGCATTTACAAAGTTATAGTAAAAACACATCAAAAAAGAGAACAACATTGATGAGACTGCAGTACAGTATACATCACACAAATGATTTAATAAACCCCATTATTAGCTTATGCACATTTGATTATAAAACATTACAAGTGCGTTATGTACCAAAACTGTTATAAACAGTACCTTGTATGTATTTTAGTTAAAATTATACCATATACACAGATAAACACAGAAAAATAAATTTCAGAAATTAAACAATTACTGACATACACAAAACACATAAAATTACATAAATATATACAAAATTATTACATAAAAATATTGCATAAAGAATTAATCATTTGGATTATTACTGTTAAGTGGAATAATAATAGGATTTTGTAATCTTTAGTCACATAACTATAATTAGGTTGATAGCCCAGTATAATGAAGTGGCAGATCACCTTTGATGACAGGTGTTCTGAGATGATAATTATGTGCTGGGAATTAGGGAGGTGTGCTACCTGGAAGATCCTGGCGAGGCTTAAAGAGGCAGTTGAATGCTGTTTTGGCAAGAGTTCTCTCCCACTGAGACCTTGTATTACAGGGAGCAATGATGGGTTGAAACCTTTCCTCTACTGTATCATCAAAGGTCTCTATGGTTTCGTTAGGCCCAGGCCTCTCTTCCTCTATCTCATCATCAAAGGTTTCTATGGTTTCATTGGGTGCAGATATCTCCTCCACAGTCTCGTCATCAAAGGTCTCTATGGTTTCGTTAGGCCCAGGCCTCTCTTCCTCTATCTCATCATCAAAGGTTTCTATGGTTTCATTGGGTGCAGATATATCCTCCACAGTCTCGTCATCAAAGGTCTCTATGGTTTCGTCAGGCCCAGGCCTCTCTTCCTCTTTCTCATCATCAAAGATCTGCATGGTTTTATCACATGGAGACCTCTTCTGTCTTTCATCATTAAAGGTCTCATTGGTTTTATCGAGCAGAAAACTCTTCTGTATCTGATCATCAGGGGTTTGTATGGTTTTCCTAGCTTGAGACCTGTACTCTCTCTCATATATAAAGGTTGCATTGGGTCCAGATCTCTCCCTGTCTATCTCACTATCGAAAGTCTCTATACTTTTACTGGATTGAGACCTCTTGTGTGTCTCATCATCAATTGCCTCTATTGTTGTACTGGGTTGAGACCTCTTCTGTTTTTTATCATCAAACGTCTTCATGGTTTTATTGCGTTTATACTTCTTACATAGCTCATTATCAGAGGTCTCTACGCTTTCCTTCGATGGAGACCTCTTTCTTCTCTCATATTTAAAGGTGCCTTTGATTTTACTGGGTTGAGAAGTTTTCTGTTTCTCATATTTAAAGGTCTGTATAGTGTCACTGTCATCAGGAGTCTCCTTTACATGAACATAAATAGTCTCTGTGGTTTCAACGGGTCGTGTATACTTGTCCAAAATGTCTGGGTGACCAAACGCTAGAGAATGATGAGGACTTAAAACATAACGTTTGTCATCAAACAAATATAATCCAAGTTTTGATCCAACAGAAGTGCAGTTTTGTTCAACTTCATTAGGTATTAATCTACTTTTAAAATCATCAGAGATTTGACCGAATATGTCCATTTTAAATTTATCATGAGTTAGTGCTGATTTATAATGAAATGGTAAGTCTTTGGTTCTGTCTGACTGCTGCTCTGATTGCACCATCATGGAAAACATTTTAGGTTTTAATGCCACAACTTCAGAAATGAGTCTTTCACCTGTCACAGATTTCAAACGCCCTGGGACTCCTTTAAAACTGTCATCAAACAATGGGTGATCTTTGGAAAAATTTGAGAAGTCCATGCAAGACTTAAGAGGTTCCGATCCTAGCTCATTATAGACATCTTCACACTCGAGTGTGAAGATATAGCTGCTAGTGTCTGTGTACACCAACTGTGCTCTTTTGCCATAGTGTGCCTTGACCACATTGTACCAAAATTCATACAGCATTTTTGTAGCCGTCTGTAGAATATGGAAATGAATATATGTGGGCTGATTAATGAGCTGTTCTTTCATACTCTTTGTACAAATCATTCGATCCTGACTTACAGGTGTAACCCATTTTGTACAAGGATTACGAGCAAAGTTTAAAAATTTGTTTTCATTTGCAACAAAATCGTGGCAATGAGAGTATTTGTTTATGTTCATTAATGACTTATCAAAGATTAGACTATTTACATAATTTAAGGCCGAACATTTTTCTTTATCAGTGGCTTCAATGCGCTGATTAATATTAGTATTAAAGTTCTCAAAAACTTTCAGCTTGGTGAATTCATACACGGCATGAACACATTCAACTTCCAAGCCAAGTTTCATCAAAAGTTGCAGTAAATCTAAACTAACTAAATAGTTCTTTTGTGGTAGATGTGAGGCCACTAATTTTTTGTTTTTCTTCGGTAATTCACAGCTGTTTGACTCAAGAATTCTGTTACTGTATTCAGAGATAATTTCTCTCTGAACATTTCTATGGGCCAAAACTAATGGCAGTTCATCTGTTTCCTGCGCTACATGAGGACTTACTTGCTTTGTGTCACAAAGAATCCAATACCCTTTGGTAGACTTACAGGAATGATTTTCAAGTCCCTTTTCTACAAAAAGTTCTTTTTCATCCTCAGGCAATTTATGTATATCGCCTCGGGGCAACGTTTCCATCATACATGTAAAATACAGATTATTGAATTCCAAATATACGATATACTTTCCAACTGCAGAGTTAAACTGTGGATTTAGGTGTATATTGTCTGCTTGTGAATACTGTTTTACTACACTGGTAAAATCCTCTTTCAGATTACCTTGTATAAGATCATATAATTCATAATCGTGAATGGCATCAAATTCAACTTTACTGTTCAAAAGCAAAGCATCCCAGGCAAAGCTAGACAAAGACTCATAATATGCGACATCTAGCTGATAAAGATCAATCAACGTCTTTCTCCAGCTTGTGAAGACATCACATAATAGACCAGTGTTAACTTTCAAATATAGTTGTAAGTAGTCTCCAAGGCATTTACAATCTCCAAGTTCATAGACACGTTGTGCATGATCATAATCCTCTGAGGATAGCTGGCTATCATTTAAGTGACTGTTAAAAGCTTCAAGAGGAGGGAGTTGTTCCTCTTTTAAACAATCAATGTTAGAAACATAGTCATTGCAGAAATAAAGCTTTCTACTTAACACAATTGTTTTAGCCTTGCTGGAAACTTCATCTATCATCATATGAGTGTACTTTAATGAGTTACCATCTTTAACGTGCTTCTCTGCCAAGTTGGCTAAGTTACCCTTCAAGAGATAGAGGCTATTCACGAGGCAAATATTATCATCAATGCTTACTTTCATCAATTTAAATTCCTGGGTAGACTGAACTGAAATTGTTCTCGGAGGATCTAAAGCCAATTCTGCGAGAATAATTCCAAAGTCATTTGAAGTATCACAAGAAAACATTTTAAGAAAACGTTTAGAAACAATAAATTGAAACTTGCATTTAAGGCAAATGGCAGTTAAAAAGTTATCGTACTCTTCATTGTACTTATGATGACGATACTTGTCTTTTGGATTCTTAAAGCGATTCAGACAAAAACCGCATGTAGTTTGAGCACGATACAGTTTCTGGGATTTGTTTGTCATGTGTACAGCATAAGTGCGCAGCTGAGCCTTTAAGCACTTCCAAGTCTCTTGCACTTTACTGACAAAGTGATTAACTGCATCAGGACCACAGTAGGAGGATTTGTCTGCAACAGATCCATGTCTGTCTATAATAATATATGAATAAGCCACAGCCCTATGGCTCATCTCTGTCATGCCTTGGGAGTCTGTTTTGTTAAGTAAACACTCAAAGCTATAAAAGCCTACATAAGATGGACTGTATGGGGAATACCGTCTTCTAAATTTTACTGTAGTGTCTGGGGGAAGCAACTCTAGAGTTTGTTGAGCATCACATTTTTCTTCATGTAAAGAAAACTGCTGCTTATTTTTCAAAGGCATTAAGCACACGCGACAATAAAAAGGATTTTTTCCATCTCTACTTGAGTTATGTTTCACGTTTTTAATATATCTATTAAAGTCCTTGATAAGAGCCACGTGTTTGCCTTCTAATAAAATTAGTGGAACAATTTTATCCCTGAAAGCAGTGTGACCTTTCCTAGCCAAGCTGATTCTACATTTACCACTGCCTTTGATAAGTAAATAGATAAATATGCTGACTTTATTTAAGGTTTCAATTTTAGAGAGATTTTCCCATGATAAAGGCAAATCTAAGTTATCAGTCCTTACATATTTTTTACACCTTTTCTCTATTTGAATTAGGCGATTAACATAACTCGATTTCCTGCCACGAGAGAGACAAAAATATGCAGAAATGCACTGTACTAAGCATGAAGAAGTGGTGCCTTTAGGATTTAAAATATAATCTTTTCCCCTGACAATAGGATAAGGAACATATGTTCCAATACGAATATTATGTTGAACAACCATAAAGTTTATATGAAAGCTAGTGACACTATGCACTGTGATTCCAGACACTTCAACTTCAGAGAGCTGCTTCTCCAGTCCAGTAGCTATAACATCTATCCATGATTTGACGAGATCAGTAATGTCTTCTAAAGTCACATCACGAATATTGATTTTGATGTTGAAATCATGGACAATGGGCTCTCCTTCGACACTATTTCCTTTAAGTTGTACATAAACTTCAGGAAAGATGCGTAGCATAGGTGGAAACTGCCCCTGATAACTATTATATACATTTGATATATACTTTATGAAAAATATTTGGTAGTTACATATGCATGACAATGGGTCTATTTCAACATTTTCGGGAATTTTAAAACTATGGCGTATGTATGATCCTTGAAAATGATGTTGAACTTGGATTAATTCTGGCTCTTGGTTTGTTTCAGATGAGAGTGGAGTAGAGTGGTCACTTTCATGGGAAAGGTGATGCTCATTCTCACTTGGGTCTGGATGTAGAGATGTATTGACTTGGTACTCACGTGTACTCATTGGTGGCTCGCTGCTGGATCTGACCTTTCTTCTCTTTATGCGCACAGCTCCTCTCTCAGTATCTTCATTTTCTGTATAACAAATATATACAAATAACTTTGTAAAAAGTAATGTGTACAATAAGTCCATTAATTTGTTGATGACAAATAGTTTCATACGAGAGTGAAATTATTTTAACTTAGTAACACAAAATTAATGGTAAAATTGGTACATTAATTTATCATATTTTGTTTAATATATATATATATATATATATATATATATATATATATATATATATATATATATATATATATATATATATATATATATATATATATATATATATATATATATATATATATATATATGACAGCTGACTAACTCCCAGGTACCCATTTACTGCTAGGTAACAGGGGCATAGGATGAAAGAAACTCTGCCCATCGTTTCTCGCCAGCGCCCGGGACCACAGGATCACGTACCCAGCGTGCTGTCCGCTCGGCCACCAGCTTGAGTGTGTACTCACCTAGTTGTGTTTGCGGGGGTTGAGCTCTGGCTCTTTGGTCCCGCCTCTCAACCGTCAATCAACAGGTGTACAGATTCCTGAGCCTATCGGGCTCTATCATATCTACACTTGAAACTGTGTATGGAGTCAGCCTCCACCACATCACTTCCTAATGCATTCCATTTGTCAACCACTCTGTGCAGTGTGTGTGTGTGTGTGTGTGTGTGTGTGTGTGTGTGTGTGTGTGTGTGTGTGTGTGTGTGTTGTGTGTGTGTGTGTGCGTGTGTGTGTGTGTGTGTGTGTGTGTGTGTGTGTGTGTGTGTCTGTGTATGGAATCTTCCACCCCCCCCCCCCACCACATCACTGCCTAATGCATTCCATTTGTTAACTGCCCTGTCACTGAAAAAGTTCTAATGTCTCTGTGGCTCATATGAGAAATAAGTTTCCATCTATGTCCCTTTGTTCGCGTACCACCCATGTTAAATAGTTAGTCTCTATCTACCCCTGGCAATTCCTCTGAGAATTTTATGTGGTGATCATGTTTTCCCTAACTCTTCTGTCTTCCAGTGTCGTGAGGTTTAGTTCCAGTAGCCTTGATTCGTAGCTCGTGCCTTTCAGCTTGGTGGCATGCTTCTGAACTTTTCCTAATTTTGTTTTGTGTTTGACTAGATATGGACTCCACGCTGTAGCCGAGTTTTTAGTGGAGTGAGTGTTTGTGCATATGCCTATTTGTACCATTACTCATTCCTCTATTTCCTAAAAGGAAAATATATATTTCTCATTTAATTATTTGGAACACAATTAACGAGTCTTCGAAACTAGTTGATGTGAATTTTATATTCTTTGAGAGCCATTAATACTATTAGCGTTTCGTGCATATTTTAACATAAGAACAGATGACACAATAGAAGGCCTCCTATACATACCTCCCAAACTCACTCATATATATGTATAATCTATGCTTGAAACAATCCAGCGTTTCCTCATCTATTATGTAATTCGGTAATCTGTTACATGTCACCAACGCTATTGTCCAATCAGCATTTATCGACATTTTTCTAAATCTAAAATATCTTTTCTAAACTGTGCAGGTGTGGCGTAGTGGTTAGATGCTCGCCTGGCGTTTCGCGAACGCTTTGTCCTGGGTTCGTATCCTGCCCGGGAAGGACTTACTGGGCGAAAATCCTTAACTGTAGCCTCTGTTTACCCAACAGTAAAATGGGTACCTGGTTGTTAAACGATTTGGCGGGTTGTATTCCAGGGAACATATTCCAGGGTAAGTAAGTAATTATCAAAAGAAGGCACCAAACCGGGAAGGCTATGTAGCACCATCAAATGCGCAAAATAATCAGAGGGCGCTAAATATCACCAAGGATGCCAATATGAGAACATAAACGCATAAGGCGAACGATATTAAAAGTATCCGAGTCACCAAGAATTCTATTGAGGGACAGGTGACCGCGAGGGGCGGTCGGAAAGCAAGACACACGCTCGTCCTGGAAGTCAGGACATTCAAGAAGGACATGCACGACCGTAAGAGGGACAATGCAACTAGGACAATGAGGAGCAGGGCGGCGCTCCATCAAGTGACCATGGGTTAAGCGAGTATGGCCAATACGCAACCTTGCCAGAGCTGTTTCCCACCGCCGGTTACGGTGGAAGGAGGACGGCCACGAGGAAACACAACATTTAAGAGTACGTAGTTTGTTACCAGTAACAGACAACAAAGAAGCCTGCCAACGGGTAAGGACGGAGGAATGGATAACCGGGTAAAAGTCGGAATACCTTTACGAGAGATGGGACAAGAGCGGACAGCTTCCTTGGCGGCAGCATCCGCACGCTCATTTAAAGACACACCAATATGGCTGGGAACCCAACAAAACTCAACCGACTTAAATTTACTGTGAACAAGAAACAGCCAATGCTGGATCTTGACAACTACTGGATGAACCGGATTAAAGGACCCGAGAGCCATGAGGGCACTACGAGAGTCAACAACAACTACAAAGGAAGACTGACAACGAGAAAGCAGGAGACGAAGAGCATAGAGAATAGCATAAAGCTCCGCTGTAAAGATGCTAGTCTCCGGAGGTAAGCGACACATATAAGTGCGATCAGGAAAAACAACAGAGTAGCCAACACCGTCCGCAGACTTAGACCCATCGGTGAAGACAGAAACGGAGCGGGAGTGAGAAGAAAAGTGCTCAAGGAAAAGGCGTTTTAGAACCGTAGGAGGGGTAAAAGCTTTAGTGATACAGGTCAAGGATGTACAAAACCGCGGAAGAGGGACTCTCCACGGGGGCAAAGAAGGAACAACACGAGGAGAAACATTAGAAATACGAACGGAAAGAGAGTCCTGTAGGCGAGATAACCGGACAGAAAGAGGGAGGTGGTGAAGAGGAACAGGAACCGCAGGAGGGGTAAAAGTTAAAGCACGACAGAGGCGAGAGGAAGGATGTTGTAAGGACCCGCAAGATAGCGAAGACAGTAGCGATCACGGCGGTCTTGGAGAGACAGGAAGCCAGTGTCAACATACAAGCTAAGGACGGGCATGGACGAACGAAAGGCACCAGAACTGAGGCGCAACCCAGTATGGTGCAAAGCATCAAGAGGGCGAAGAGTAGAAGGAGAAGCAGACGAGTAAGCAGGGCAACCATAATCGAGCTTAGACAGGACGAGAGAGGAATGTAAAGCAAGGAGAGTGCGCCTATCTGCCCCCCAAGAAGTATGGGACAAGACCCGAAGGAGGGTAAAGGCCTTAGAGCACTCAACACGGAGGTAAGAGATATGGGGAGACCAAGACAAACGAGTGTCACGGAATAACCCCAAAAACTTCGCGGAATCTTTGTACTCAAGAGGATGACCATAAAGCGACAAAGAGGGACGAAGAACGACCCGTTTCCGCGTAAAAGTCATGGCACAAGTCTTAGAAGTAGAGAACTTGAAGCCATGATCGGTGGCCCAACATAGGAGTAAGGACCTGGCCGAAACGCTATGCCTGCTAATGGCTGTACAAGAATGTAAGAACTCTTGTACAAATATAAAAAAAAAATCTAAACATACAATTTGAATATAAGGTTGCACTTAAAAAACAATTCTTTACTTCATTAGAAAGGGAGTTTTTTATTTTAGTCTTTTATTTGCACGGCATGTTTGCAAAGATTTAGTCAGAGTTTGGAATGTCAAAGATATATTTTTATGATGAAGCTCATTAGTTTTAGTATAAGAAAAAAAGAGTTTGAAGTCAGGGATAGGACTGACGAATAAAGATTCGTACTACGAGCTCACCATAGCCCGTGCTGCTTGGAACTTTTTGTTCCAGGTAGCGAATCTTAAACAACAGCAACAAGATTCGTATCTATAAAGAGCACAAGAGAATGTGTAGTGTGTGTGTGTGTGTGTGTGTGTGTGTGTGTGTGTGTGTGTGTGTGTGTGTGTGTGTGTGTGTGTGTGTGTGTGTGTGTGCGCGCGCGCGCGTGCGTAGCTTGTTTAGGGCTTTGCACCGAGGGGAAATGTATGTTTTCTGGTCAAAATTGTTTATAGCTCTGAATATTAATAAATGATTTTCTCTCGGTGATGGAGAATTTGAGGGATTTGTGGTTGTTCAATCATTTTTTATGGTGGTGGGTTAGGTCTAGAAAAAATGAAGGTTGTGTCATCAGCAAAGAGTAGAGGTCTGAGAAGATTAGAAGCAACTGACAGGTAATTTATAACAAAAACAGACAAGGTCTTAGTATACTACCTTGGAGTATTCCCAAGATTAATGGGAGAGTGGGACAAGAGAGGCTATGTTATTGATGACTGTAACAGTGTCTATTGTTGCCAGACGATCGTAAATAGCTCAGAGCAAAGCCTCTTATTCCAATGTGATGAAGTTTAAGTAGGTCGTTATCGTTATTTAAGGAATCAAATACTTTTCTTAGGTCAATAAACCGGCCAATTGGAGATAAGTTTGTGTTGAGTGTTAGGAAAATGAAACTTCCAAACGTTTTCGTGTTTCAACACATTATCAGGGCAATCCAAAAAGATGCATAGGAGTTTGGGATTATATTCCCAACTACACCTGCCTAGACAAAGAACCACAAGGTAAAACGTCAATAGAGGTGAGATGATAATGCGGATATTATTTGGGTAATAACTTACACATCATAAAAGAGAACAACAATGAGAGTGCAGTACAGTATACATTACACAAATAATTTAATAAACCCTATTATTAACTAATACGTATTTGATTATAAAACAACGCATGCGCTTTATGTACCAACACTGTTGTGTTCAGTACATTATATGCATTTTAGATAAAGTATACAATGTATACAGATAAACACACAAAAACACATGTCAGTAATTGTTTAATTTTTGCACGGACACAAAACATAAAATTACATAAACGTATACAAAATTATTAAACAGAATAAAAATATTGCATAAAGAATTAATCATATGGATTATTACCTTTATGTGGAACAAAAATATAAATTTGTTATCTTTATTCACATAACTATAATTATGTTGATGACCCAGTATAATCAAGTGGTGGCACTTCATTATACATTATATTTCATTCAACATCACCTTTGATGACAGGTGTTCTGAGATGATAATGATGTGCTGGGAGTTAGGGAGGTGTGCTACCTGGAAGATCCTGGCGAGGCTTAAAGAGGCAGTTGAATGCTGTTTTGGCAAGAGTTCTCTCCCACTGAGACCTTGTATTACAGGGAGCAATAATGGGTTGAAACCTTTCCTCTACTGTATCACCATCGAAGGTCTCTATGGTTTCGTTAAATGCAGATGTCTCCTCCTCAGTGTCATCATCAAAGGTCTCTATGGTTTCATTTGGTCCGGATCTCTCCTCTATCTCATCATCAATGGTCTCTAGGGTTTCATTTGGTCGGGAACTCTCCTCAATCGCAGCATCAACGGTCTCTATGGTTTCGTTGTGTCCAGATCTCTCCTCTATCTCATCATCAAAGGTTTCTATGGTTTCATTTGGTCCGGATCTCTCCACTAGAGCATCATCAAAGGTCGCTATGGTTTCGATGGGTCCAGGTCTCGCTTCTAATTTATCATCTATAAATTTGTTAGGTTCAGGTCTCTCCTCTATCTTACCACCAAAGGTCACGATGGTTTTAATGAACCGAGATCTCTTCTGTCTCTCATCAGAGGTCTCTACGGTTTCCCTGGGTTGAGACCTCATCTGCCTCTCATGCTTAATGGTCTCTATGGTTTCGCTGGGTCCAGATCTCTTCCTACCTATCTCATTATCGAAAGTCTCTCTACTTTTACTGGATTGAGAACTCTTGTGTGTCTCATCATCAATTGCCTCTATGATTTTACTGGATTGAGAACTTCCCTGTCTTTTATCATCAAATATTTTCATGGTTTTAATGCGTTTACACTTCTTACGTCTCTCATCATCAGAGATCTCTACGCTTTCCTTCGATTGAGACCTCTTTTTTTTCTCATATTTAAAGGTGCCTTTGATTTTACTGGGTTGAGAAGTTTTCTGTTTCTCATATTTAAAGGTCTGTATAGTGTCACTGTCATCAGGAGTCTCCTTTACATGAACATAAATTGTCTCTGTGGTTTCAACGGGTCGTGTATACTTGTCCAAAATGTCTGGGTGACCAAACGCTAGAGAATGATGAGGACTTAAAACATAACGTTTGTCATCAAACAAATGTAATCCAAGTTTTGATCCAACAGAAGTGCAGTATTGTTCAGCTTCATTTGGTATTAATCTACTATTAAAATCATTAGAGACTTGACCGAATATGTCTTTTTTAAATTTATCATGAGTTAGTGCTGATTTATAATGAAATGGTAAGTCTTTGGTTCTGTCTGACTGCTGCTCTGATTGCACCATCATGGAAAACATTTTAGGTTTTAATGCCACAACTTCAGAAATGAGTCTTTCACCTGTCACAGATTTCAAACGCCCTGGGACTCCTTTAAAACTGTCATCAAACAGTGGGTGATCTTTAGAAAAATTTGAGAAGTCCATGCAAGACTTAAGAGGTTCCGATCCTAGCTCATTATAGACATCTTCACACTCGAGTGTGAAGATATAGCTGCTAGTGTCTGTGTACACCAACTGTGCTCTTTTGCCATAGTGTGCCTTCACCACATTGTACCAAAATTCGTACAACATTTTTGTAGCCATCTGAAGAATATGGAAATGAATATATGTGGGCTGATCAATGATATGTTTCTTCATACTCTTTGTACAAATCATTCGATCCTGACTTACAGGTGTAACCCATTTTGTACAAGGATTACGAGCAAACTTTAAAAATTTATTTTCATTTATAACGAAATCGTGGCAATCAGAGTATTTGTTTATGTTCATTAATGACTTATCAAAGATTAGACTATTTACATAATTTAAGGCTGAACATTTTTCTTTATCAGTGGCTTCAATCCGTTGATTAATATTAGTATTAAAGTTCTCTAAAACTTCCAGCTTGGAGAATTCATACACGGCATGAACACATTCAACTTCCAAGCCAAGTTTCATCAAAAGTTGCAGTAAATCTAAGCTAACTAAATAATTCTTCTGTGGTAGATGTGAGGCCACTAACTTTTTGTTTGACTTCGGTAATTCACAGCTGTTAAACTCAAGAATTCTATTACTGTATTCAGAGATAATTTCTCTCTGAACATTTCTATGGGCCAAAACTAATGGTAGTTCATCTGTTTCCTGGGCTACACGAGGACTTACTTGCTTTGTGTCACAAAGAATCCAATACCCTTTGATAGACTTACAGGAATGATTTTCTAGTCCCTTTTCTACAAAAAGTTCTTTTTCATCCTCAGGCAATTTATGTATATCGCCTCGGGGCAACTTTTCCATCATACATGTAAAATACAGATTATTGAATTCCAAATATACGATATACTTTCCAACTGCAGAGTTAAACTGTGGATTTAGGTGTATATTGTCTGCTTGTGAATACTGTTTTACTACACTGGTAAAATCCTCTTTCAGATTACCTTGTATGAGATCATATAATTCATAATCGTGAATAGCATCAAATTCAACTTTACTGTTCAAAAGCAAAGCATCCCAGGCAAAGCTAGACAAAGATTCATAATATGCGACATCTAGCTGATAAAGATCAATCAAAGTCTTTCTCCAGCTTGTGAAGACATCACATAATAGACCAGTGTTAACTTTCAAATATAGTTGTAAGTAGTCTCCAAGGCATTTACAACCTCCAAGTTCATAGACACGTTGTGCATGATCATAATCCTCTGAGGATAGCTGGCTATCATTTAAGTGACTGTTAAAAGCTTCAAGAGGAGGGAGTTGTTCCTCTTTTAAACAATCAATGTTAGAAACATAGTCATTGCAGAAATAAAGTTTTCTACTTAACACAATTGTTTTGGCCTTGCTGGAAACTTCATCCATCATCATATGAGTGTACTTTAATGAATTACCATCTTTAACGTGCTTCTCTGCCAAATTGACTAAGTTACCCTTCAAGAGATATAGGCTATTCACGAGGCAAATATTATTATCAATGCTTACTTTCATCAATTTATATTCCTGGGTAGACTGAACTAAAATCTCTTTCTGCGGCTCTAAAGCCAATTCTGCGAGAATAATTCCAAAGTCATTTGAAGTATCACATGAAAACATTTTAAGAAAACGGTTAGCAACCAAACATTCAAACTTACATTTAAGGCAATAGGCAGTTAAAAAGTTATCGTACTCTTCATTGTATTTATGATGACGATACTTATCTTTTGGATTCTTAAAGTCATTCAGGCAAAAACCGCATGTAGTTTGAGCACGATACAGTTTCTTGGATTTGTTTGTCATGTGTACAGGATAAGTGCGCAGCTGAGCCTTTAAGCGCTTCCAAGTCTTTTGCACTTTACTGACAAAGTGATTAACTGCATCAGGACCACAGTAGGAAGATTTGTCTGCAACAGATCCATGTCTGTCTATAATAATATATGAGTAAGCCACAGCCCTATGGCTCATCTCTGTCATGCCTTGGGAGTCCGTTTTGTTTAGTAAACACTCAAAGCTATAAAAGCCTACATGAGATGGACTGTATGGGGAATACTGTCTTCTAAATTTTATTGTATAGTCCGGGGGATGCAACTCTAGAGTTTGTTGAGCATCACATTTTTCTTCATGTATAGAAAACTGCTGCTTATTGTACATCTGCATTAAGCAGATGTGACAATAAATAGGATTTTTCCCCTCTCTCATCTGGTTGCTCTTCATGTTTTTAATATATTGATTAAAGTCCTTGATAAGAGCCACGTGTTTGTCTTCTAATAACAATAGTGGAACAATTTTATCCCTGTAGGCAGTATGACCTTTCCTAGCCAAACTGATACTATATTTACCACTGCTTTTGACAAGTAAATACATAAATATACTGACTTTATTTAAGCTTTCAATTTTAGAGAGATTTTCCCATGATAAAGGCAAATCTAAGTTATCAGTCTTTACATATTTTCTACACCTGCTCTGTATTTTAATTATGGTCCGAACAACGTCCAAGTTCTTGCCACTAGAGAGACACAAATATGCACAAATGCACTGGATTAAGCATGACGAAGTGGTACTTACAGGATTTAAAATACAGTGTTTGCCTCTAATAGTTGGATAAGGGACATATGTTCCTAAGCGAATAGGATGTTGAACAACCATAAAATTCATATGAAAGCTAGTGACACTATGCACTGTGATTCCAGACACTTCAACTTCAGAGAGCTGCTTCTCCAGTCCAGTAGCTATAACATCTATCCATGATTTGACGAGATCAGTAATGTCTTCTAAAGTCACATCACGAATATCGACTTTGATGTTGAAATCATGGACAATGGGCTCTCCCTCGACATTGTCTCCTTTAAGTTGTACATAAACTTCAGGAAAGATGCGTAGCATAGGTGGAAACCGCCCCTGATAACTATTATATACATTTGAGATGTACTTTATGAAAAATATTTGGTAGTTACATATGTATGACAATGGGTCTACTTCAACATTTTTAGGAATTCTGAAACTATGGCGTATGTATGATCCTTGAAAATGATGTTGAACTTGGATTAATTCTGGCTCTTGGTTTGTTTCAGGTGAGAGTGGGGTAGAGTGGTCACTTTCATGGGAAACTTGATGCTCATTCTCACTTGGAGATGGAGAGGTGGTGATGTTATTGTCTTGGTACCCACGTGTGCTCACTGTTGGCTCGCTGCTGGATCTCTTCATCCTTCTCATTATGACCTTAAGTCGTGTGTCGCTATCCTCATTGTCTATAAAAAATATATATTCAAGTACCTTTGTAAAAAAATCATGGTGTACCGTAGTAGTCGTAGTAGTAATGAAACCATAGCGAGGAATTTTTAATTTTGGCAAATAACTTGCTGGGGTGTCACCTGCTAGACCAAAATTTGTCATAGTAAGTCGTACTGAAGATATGTCAATTAAGTGTTAGTCATGTGTTTGACAGTGTTGGACGTTAGCTCTTGGATCCGCCTCTAGATGTTATTCTTTGCAAATTCATTAAACAGTAGATTTATTAAATTTACAACCATGTATTTTAGATGAATTAAGAGGAAAAGACAGTTCAGGGTTGTAGCTCCTGTCGAGAACATAAACGCATAAGGCGAACGATATTAAAAGTATCCGAGTCACCAAGAATTCTATTGAGGGACAGGTGACCGCGAGGGGCGGTCGGAAAGCAAGACACACGCTCGTCCTGGAAGTCAGGACATTCAAGAAGGACATGCACGACCGTAAGAGGGACAATGCAACTAGGACAATGAGGAGCAGGGCGGCGCTCCATCAAGTGACCATGGGTTAAGCGAGTATGGCCAATACGCAACCTTGCCAGAGCTGTTTCCCACCGCCGGTTACGGTGGAAGGAGGACGGCCACGAGGAAACACAACATTTAAGAGTACGTAGTTTGTTACCAGTAACAGACAACAAAGAAGCCTGCCAACGGGTAAGGACGGAGGAATGGATAACCGGGTAAAAGTCGGAATACCTTTACGAGAGATGGGACAAGAGCGGACAGCTTCCTTGGCGGCAGCATCCGCACGCTCATTTAAAGACACACCAATATGGCTGGGAACCCAACAAAACTCAACCGACTTAAATTTACTGTGAACAAGAAACAGCCAATGCTGGATCTTGACAACTACTGGATGAACCGGATTAAAGGACCCGAGAGCCATGAGGGCACTACGAGAGTCAACAACAACTACAAAGGAAGACTGACAACGAGAAAGCAGGAGACGAAGAGCATAGAGAATAGCATAAAGCTCCGCTGTAAAGATGCTAGTCTCCGGAGGTAAGCGACACATATAAGTGCGATCAGGAAAAACAACAGAGTAGCCAACACCGTCCGCAGACTTAGACCCATCGGTGAAGACAGAAACGGAGCGGGAGTGAGAAGAAAAGTGCTCAAGGAAAAGGCGTTTTAGAACCGTAGGAGGGGTAAAAGCTTTAGTGATACAGGTCAAGGATGTACAAAACCGCGGAAGAGGGACTCTCCACGGGGGCAAAGAAGGAACAACACGAGGAGAAACATTAGAAATACGAACGGAAAGAGAGTCCTGTAGGCGAGATAACCGGACAGAAAGAGGGAGGTGGTGAAGAGGAACAGGAACCGCAGGAGGGGTAAAAGTTAAAGCACGACAGAGGCGAGAGGAAGGATGTTGTAAGGACCCGCAAGATAGCGAAGACAGTAGCGATCACGGCGGTCTTGGAGAGACAGGAAGCCAGTGTCAACATACAAGCTAAGGACGGGCATGGACGAACGAAAGGCACCAGAACTGAGGCGCAACCCAGTATGGTGCAAAGCATCAAGAGGGCGAAGAGTAGAAGGAGAAGCAGACGAGTAAGCAGGGCAACCATAATCGAGCTTAGACAGGACGAGAGAGGAATGTAAAGCAAGGAGAGTGCGCCTATCTGCCCCCCAAGAAGTATGGGACAAGACCCGAAGGAGGGTAAAGGCCTTAGAGCACTCAACACGGAGGTAAGAGATATGGGGAGACCAAGACAAACGAGTGTCACGGAATAACCCCAAAAACTTCGCGGAATCTTTGTACTCAAGAGGATGACCATAAAGCGACAAAGAGGGACGAAGAACGACCCGTTTCCGCGTAAAAGTCATGGCACAAGTCTTAGAAGTAGAGAACTTGAAGCCATGATCGGTGGCCCAACATAGGAGTAAGGACCTGGCCGAAACGCTATGCCTGCTAATGGCTGTACAAGAATGTAAGAACTCTTGTACAAATATAAAAAAAAAATCTAAACATACAATTTGAATATAAGGTTGCACTTAAAAAACAATTCTTTACTTCATTAGAAAGGGAGTTTTTTATTTTAGTCTTTTATTTGCACGGCATGTTTGCAAAGATTTAGTCAGAGTTTGGAATGTCAAAGATATATTTTTATGATGAAGCTCATTAGTTTTAGTATAAGAAAAAAAGAGTTTGAAGTCAGGGATAGGACTGACGAATAAAGATTCGTACTACGAGCTCACCATAGCCCGTGCTGCTTGGAACTTTTTGTTCCAGGTAGCGAATCTTAAACAACAGCAACAAGATTCGTATCTATAAAGAGCACAAGAGAATGTGTAGTGTGTGTGTGTGTGTGTGTGTGTGTGTGTGTGTGTGTGTGTGTGTGTGTGTGTGTGTGTGTGTGTGTGTGTGTGTGCGCGCGCGCGCGTGCGTAGCTTGTTTAGGGCTTTGCACCGAGGGGAAATGTATGTTTTCTGGTCAAAATTGTTTATAGCTCTGAATATTAATAAATGATTTTCTCTCGGTGATGGAGAATTTGAGGGATTTGTGGTTGTTCAATCATTTTTTATGGTGGTGGGTTAGGTCTAGAAAAAATGAAGGTTGTGTCATCAGCAAAGAGTAGAGGTCTGAGAAGATTAGAAGCAACTGACAGGTAATTTATAACAAAAACAGACAAGGTCTTAGTATACTACCTTGGAGTATTCCCAAGATTAATGGGAGAGTGGGACAAGAGAGGCTATGTTATTGATGACTGTAACAGTGTCTATTGTTGCCAGACGATCGTAAATAGCTCAGAGCAAAGCCTCTTATTCCAATGTGATGAAGTTTAAGTAGGTCGTTATCGTTATTTAAGGAATCAAATACTTTTCTTAGGTCAATAAACCGGCCAATTGGAGATAAGTTTGTGTTGAGTGTTAGGAAAATGAAACTTCCAAACGTTTTCGTGTTTCAACACATTATCAGGGCAATCCAAAAAGATGCATAGGAGTTTGGGATTATATTCCCAACTACACCTGCCTAGACAAAGAACCACAAGGTAAAACGTCAATAGAGGTGAGATGATAATGCGGATATTATTTGGGTAATAACTTACACATCATAAAAGAGAACAACAATGAGAGTGCAGTACAGTATACATTACACAAATAATTTAATAAACCCTATTATTAACTAATACGTATTTGATTATAAAACAACGCATGCGCTTTATGTACCAACACTGTTGTGTTCAGTACATTATATGCATTTTAGATAAAGTATACAATGTATACAGATAAACACACAAAAACACATGTCAGTAATTGTTTAATTTTTGCACGGACACAAAACATAAAATTACATAAACGTATACAAAATTATTAAACAGAATAAAAATATTGCATAAAGAATTAATCATATGGATTATTACCTTTATGTGGAACAAAAATATAAATTTGTTATCTTTATTCACATAACTATAATTATGTTGATGACCCAGTATAATCAAGTGGTGGCACTTCATTATACATTATATTTCATTCAACATCACCTTTGATGACAGGTGTTCTGAGATGATAATGATGTGCTGGGAGTTAGGGAGGTGTGCTACCTGGAAGATCCTGGCGAGGCTTAAAGAGGCAGTTGAATGCTGTTTTGGCAAGAGTTCTCTCCCACTGAGACCTTGTATTACAGGGAGCAATAATGGGTTGAAACCTTTCCTCTACTGTATCACCATCGAAGGTCTCTATGGTTTCGTTAAATGCAGATGTCTCCTCCTCAGTGTCATCATCAAAGGTCTCTATGGTTTCATTTGGTCCGGATCTCTCCTCTATCTCATCATCAATGGTCTCTAGGGTTTCATTTGGTCGGGAACTCTCCTCAATCGCAGCATCAACGGTCTCTATGGTTTCGTTGTGTCCAGATCTCTCCTCTATCTCATCATCAAAGGTTTCTATGGTTTCATTTGGTCCGGATCTCTCCACTAGAGCATCATCAAAGGTCGCTATGGTTTCGATGGGTCCAGGTCTCGCTTCTAATTTATCATCTATAAATTTGTTAGGTTCAGGTCTCTCCTCTATCTTACCACCAAAGGTCACGATGGTTTTAATGAACCGAGATCTCTTCTGTCTCTCATCAGAGGTCTCTACGGTTTCCCTGGGTTGAGACCTCATCTGCCTCTCATGCTTAATGGTCTCTATGGTTTCGCTGGGTCCAGATCTCTTCCTACCTATCTCATTATCGAAAGTCTCTCTACTTTTACTGGATTGAGAACTCTTGTGTGTCTCATCATCAATTGCCTCTATGATTTTACTGGATTGAGAACTTCCCTGTCTTTTATCATCAAATATTTTCATGGTTTTAATGCGTTTACACTTCTTACGTCTCTCATCATCAGAGATCTCTACGCTTTCCTTCGATTGAGACCTCTTTTTTTTCTCATATTTAAAGGTGCCTTTGATTTTACTGGGTTGAGAAGTTTTCTGTTTCTCATATTTAAAGGTCTGTATAGTGTCACTGTCATCAGGAGTCTCCTTTACATGAACATAAATTGTCTCTGTGGTTTCAACGGGTCGTGTATACTTGTCCAAAATGTCTGGGTGACCAAACGCTAGAGAATGATGAGGACTTAAAACATAACGTTTGTCATCAAACAAATGTAATCCAAGTTTTGATCCAACAGAAGTGCAGTATTGTTCAGCTTCATTTGGTATTAATCTACTATTAAAATCATTAGAGACTTGACCGAATATGTCTTTTTTAAATTTATCATGAGTTAGTGCTGATTTATAATGAAATGGTAAGTCTTTGGTTCTGTCTGACTGCTGCTCTGATTGCACCATCATGGAAAACATTTTAGGTTTTAATGCCACAACTTCAGAAATGAGTCTTTCACCTGTCACAGATTTCAAACGCCCTGGGACTCCTTTAAAACTGTCATCAAACAGTGGGTGATCTTTAGAAAAATTTGAGAAGTCCATGCAAGACTTAAGAGGTTCCGATCCTAGCTCATTATAGACATCTTCACACTCGAGTGTGAAGATATAGCTGCTAGTGTCTGTGTACACCAACTGTGCTCTTTTGCCATAGTGTGCCTTCACCACATTGTACCAAAATTCGTACAACATTTTTGTAGCCATCTGAAGAATATGGAAATGAATATATGTGGGCTGATCAATGATATGTTTCTTCATACTCTTTGTACAAATCATTCGATCCTGACTTACAGGTGTAACCCATTTTGTACAAGGATTACGAGCAAACTTTAAAAATTTATTTTCATTTATAACGAAATCGTGGCAATCAGAGTATTTGTTTATGTTCATTAATGACTTATCAAAGATTAGACTATTTACATAATTTAAGGCTGAACATTTTTCTTTATCAGTGGCTTCAATCCGTTGATTAATATTAGTATTAAAGTTCTCTAAAACTTCCAGCTTGGAGAATTCATACACGGCATGAACACATTCAACTTCCAAGCCAAGTTTCATCAAAAGTTGCAGTAAATCTAAGCTAACTAAATAATTCTTCTGTGGTAGATGTGAGGCCACTAACTTTTTGTTTGACTTCGGTAATTCACAGCTGTTAAACTCAAGAATTCTATTACTGTATTCAGAGATAATTTCTCTCTGAACATTTCTATGGGCCAAAACTAATGGTAGTTCATCTGTTTCCTGGGCTACACGAGGACTTACTTGCTTTGTGTCACAAAGAATCCAATACCCTTTGATAGACTTACAGGAATGATTTTCTAGTCCCTTTTCTACAAAAAGTTCTTTTTCATCCTCAGGCAATTTATGTATATCGCCTCGGGGCAACTTTTCCATCATACATGTAAAATACAGATTATTGAATTCCAAATATACGATATACTTTCCAACTGCAGAGTTAAACTGTGGATTTAGGTGTATATTGTCTGCTTGTGAATACTGTTTTACTACACTGGTAAAATCCTCTTTCAGATTACCTTGTATGAGATCATATAATTCATAATCGTGAATAGCATCAAATTCAACTTTACTGTTCAAAAGCAAAGCATCCCAGGCAAAGCTAGACAAAGATTCATAATATGCGACATCTAGCTGATAAAGATCAATCAAAGTCTTTCTCCAGCTTGTGAAGACATCACATAATAGACCAGTGTTAACTTTCAAATATAGTTGTAAGTAGTCTCCAAGGCATTTACAACCTCCAAGTTCATAGACACGTTGTGCATGATCATAATCCTCTGAGGATAGCTGGCTATCATTTAAGTGACTGTTAAAAGCTTCAAGAGGAGGGAGTTGTTCCTCTTTTAAACAATCAATGTTAGAAACATAGTCATTGCAGAAATAAAGTTTTCTACTTAACACAATTGTTTTGGCCTTGCTGGAAACTTCATCCATCATCATATGAGTGTACTTTAATGAATTACCATCTTTAACGTGCTTCTCTGCCAAATTGACTAAGTTACCCTTCAAGAGATATAGGCTATTCACGAGGCAAATATTATTATCAATGCTTACTTTCATCAATTTATATTCCTGGGTAGACTGAACTAAAATCTCTTTCTGCGGCTCTAAAGCCAATTCTGCGAGAATAATTCCAAAGTCATTTGAAGTATCACATGAAAACATTTTAAGAAAACGGTTAGCAACCAAACATTCAAACTTACATTTAAGGCAATAGGCAGTTAAAAAGTTATCGTACTCTTCATTGTATTTATGATGACGATACTTATCTTTTGGATTCTTAAAGTCATTCAGGCAAAAACCGCATGTAGTTTGAGCACGATACAGTTTCTTGGATTTGTTTGTCATGTGTACAGGATAAGTGCGCAGCTGAGCCTTTAAGCGCTTCCAAGTCTTTTGCACTTTACTGACAAAGTGATTAACTGCATCAGGACCACAGTAGGAAGATTTGTCTGCAACAGATCCATGTCTGTCTATAATAATATATGAGTAAGCCACAGCCCTATGGCTCATCTCTGTCATGCCTTGGGAGTCCGTTTTGTTTAGTAAACACTCAAAGCTATAAAAGCCTACATGAGATGGACTGTATGGGGAATACTGTCTTCTAAATTTTATTGTATAGTCCGGGGGATGCAACTCTAGAGTTTGTTGAGCATCACATTTTTCTTCATGTATAGAAAACTGCTGCTTATTGTACATCTGCATTAAGCAGATGTGACAATAAATAGGATTTTTCCCCTCTCTCATCTGGTTGCTCTTCATGTTTTTAATATATTGATTAAAGTCCTTGATAAGAGCCACGTGTTTGTCTTCTAATAACAATAGTGGAACAATTTTATCCCTGTAGGCAGTATGACCTTTCCTAGCCAAACTGATACTATATTTACCACTGCTTTTGACAAGTAAATACATAAATATACTGACTTTATTTAAGCTTTCAATTTTAGAGAGATTTTCCCATGATAAAGGCAAATCTAAGTTATCAGTCTTTACATATTTTCTACACCTGCTCTGTATTTTAATTATGGTCCGAACAACGTCCAAGTTCTTGCCACTAGAGAGACACAAATATGCACAAATGCACTGGATTAAGCATGACGAAGTGGTACTTACAGGATTTAAAATACAGTGTTTGCCTCTAATAGTTGGATAAGGGACATATGTTCCTAAGCGAATAGGATGTTGAACAACCATAAAATTCATATGAAAGCTAGTGACACTATGCACTGTGATTCCAGACACTTCAACTTCAGAGAGCTGCTTCTCCAGTCCAGTAGCTATAACATCTATCCATGATTTGACGAGATCAGTAATGTCTTCTAAAGTCACATCACGAATATCGACTTTGATGTTGAAATCATGGACAATGGGCTCTCCCTCGACATTGTCTCCTTTAAGTTGTACATAAACTTCAGGAAAGATGCGTAGCATAGGTGGAAACCGCCCCTGATAACTATTATATACATTTGAGATGTACTTTATGAAAAATATTTGGTAGTTACATATGTATGACAATGGGTCTACTTCAACATTTTTAGGAATTCTGAAACTATGGCGTATGTATGATCCTTGAAAATGATGTTGAACTTGGATTAATTCTGGCTCTTGGTTTGTTTCAGGTGAGAGTGGGGTAGAGTGGTCACTTTCATGGGAAACTTGATGCTCATTCTCACTTGGAGATGGAGAGGTGGTGATGTTATTGTCTTGGTACCCACGTGTGCTCACTGTTGGCTCGCTGCTGGATCTCTTCATCCTTCTCATTATGACCTTAAGTCGTGTGTCGCTATCCTCATTGTCTATAAAAAATATATATTCAAGTACCTTTGTAAAAAAATCATGGTGTACCGTAGTAGTCGTAGTAGTAATGAAACCATAGCGAGGAATTTTTAATTTTGGCAAATAACTTGCTGGGGTGTCACCTGCTAGACCAAAATTTGTCATAGTAAGTCGTACTGAAGATATGTCAATTAAGTGTTAGTCATGTGTTTGACAGTGTTGGACGTTAGCTCTTGGATCCGCCTCTAGATGTTATTCTTTGCAAATTCATTAAACAGTAGATTTATTAAATTTACAACCATGTATTTTAGATGAATTAAGAGGAAAAGACAGTTCAGGGTTGTAGCTCCTGTCTCCCACCTATGTTCTCCACTGTATTTTCATAAGTATTCATCCAATCTTAAAATAAATATTTATTTAAAAATAGTTACCTGTATTGATTCTGCCCCCCCCCCCTCCCATCATTGTTTTCTTGTGTATTTTCGTTATTAGCTTAATCCAAATAAAATTAAAATATAGTTAAAAAGACAGGAAATAAAAGTAGCCATAAGCTCTTTATACTCTCGTTGCAAGATATTTATCAAGAAACTGTCTCTCAATTCCCACAGAAACAAGCAACACTTAGTGGGCCAGCCCACTAAGCATTCCTGTGCAGTTTACGGGCTGCACAGGAATATCCCTGCAAAAACTAAAAACTAAAAAATCCCACAAGCACAATTAGGTAAGCATAATTAAGACCCCATGCTTCCCCTCATCCACCCCTGCTCATAACAGGTAGAACAGGGATTGTACCTGTTGGTACAACTCCTTTCTCCCCCCCCTCTTCCTCCATTCTTCCCCTTCCTTACTCCTCCTACCATTCTCCCTTCCATTTTATCCTACTTCCTCCCTACCCTACCCCGTCTCCTCCCTTCTCGTTCCTTACTTCTCCCTCTTTCTTCTCTGCCTACAGTCCCTCCACACTGAGTCCACCATCCAGCCTTTTACACATCCTCCTTCAGACTGTCTCCACCTAGCTCCGCTCCCTCACTGCGATCCTCCTTCCCCCTTCCTGCACACATACCTTCCTTGCTCACCTACCTCCCACTCTTTCCCCTCCAACTTGCCCATGCCTTGTTTCTCCCCTCCCTCCCCAAACCCAATAAGAACACATCTTCTTGAGATGATTTGATTTTGATTTCACATACACATACAAACATATTCTAACTCATTTACTTAAGCATATGCGTAACTTCTTTATATGTTCTCAACATATTCTGTATTTCTTTAGAACTAATTTATAATCTACTATATGTAATATCACTATCAGTTAACAAATTAAGCAACTTTACTAAGACATTTGCATGCACGCACAGGAGGGGGCGAGGGATGCTAGGTGGAGGTGACTGAAGGAGGAAGTGTCGAAAGCTGGATGGAGAACTTTAAGATAAGGGAATCTGAATCTAGGTAGAAAAGGGAGAGGTTAGAATAGAGGATTAGGAAGGAAGTTGAAGGACGTTGTAGTAAGGGAGTTGTGACTAGAAGTTGATGATGTGGAACGTGGGTACTTATCTAATTATGCTTGCAGAATTGAGAGACTGCTTCCTTGAACTATGTCTTACAACGAGAGGATGAGGAACACCATGAACTACATTTATTCCATGTCTCAGTAACTATAATTTAATTATAATTTTAATTGAGTAAATAATAACAAAAATACATGAGAGCTATGATGGGGAGGGGGGGACAGGAGCTACAGCCACAGATCTAGCTTTAGTCCTTCTTCCTCGTCATGTGTGAAACTATTTTAAATGTCATTAAAATTGGATGGACACATGAAAATACTGTGGAGGAGTAAGGCAGGGATGAGTGCTGCAGCCTAAACCCACGTCCAAAATTACGAAAAACGTTGTCTAAAAACGACCATTTTAAATTTCATAAAATTACGATGCCTATTAAGGAAACTACAACGAGTAACGTGTAGTTCAAGTATGTGTATTGAGATAGTAAGATACATCTCTTAAAGGATAGAGTAACTTAAACTATTTCTACCCTCCAAATAATATTTGCAAGGTGGGCCCAAGAACTAACCCTCATTTTCATCCACATGACTGGCACTTATTTGACATATCACGTTAAGCACAACTTGCTACGACACAAATTTTGGTATAAAACGAGTGACACCCCAGCGAGGAATTTGTCTAAACCAAAAATTCCTCGCTGGGGTGTTGTTACCCTTACTTATATTAATTAAGTTTATTGATTGGTTAACGACAAGGTGTGTTGTACAGGAGTTAAAAAATAAATTATATTATAGAGCGGGGATCCCAGCGTTGCATGGGTCTGTCTCCCATCTGTCATCTTACCATTCATCTATTTATCTATCCATTCACCTATCTATCCCAAAATCTATTTTTCTATCGATCCACCCATCCATCAATATATCCTTCATTCTATCTGTCCTTCTATCTATCCATGCATCTATTCATCCATCAATCTATCCGTCTATCCACCCTTCCATCTATCTATCCATCGATAAATCTATCCGTCTATCCACCCTTCCATCTATCCATCGATCAAACCATGTATCTATCCGTCCATATATACAGCGATCCATCTTTCAATTTATCTTTCTATCCATCCATTTGTGCAACCGTCTATCCATCAATATATATCCATCCATCTATTAATCTATCTGCCCAATCAATTACTAATCTTTCTATCCATATATATCTATCCATATATATCTATCCATATATATCTATCCATTTATCTACCTATCCATCTACTCATCTATTTATCTATCCAACCATTTATTCATCTACCCACCTACCTATCCATCCATCTGTCTACCGACCCATCTATTCTGTCTTGGTTGTAAGCTATGAAGCTGTGGAAGAATGGTTGGTTTTATGCGACTATGGGCAAGTTATTGACAGCAGGAAAATTCTGGTAATTTTACCAAGATCAATGAATAGTGGTGCATATTACTGTACGAAATTGTGTTGAAAAAATTAGTTTGTAATTATTGAACTGTGTAGATGGCG